AATTAGGACACCTAATGTCAGCAGTTAGTTATGCTGATCTTAAAAAGCAAAATTTTAAAAGAACAGTTTTTCTATATAATGAAATAACCCAAGAAAATTGGGATGACTATAGAGAAGAATTAGAAAAAATTCTTAAAAAGAAGGAAAGCTTAATACAAGATTTGCTCAATTCAGAAAAGAATATCGAAGAAGAAAAAAACTCAAAGACTATTAGACAAAGCATGGAACCTAATAAATAAAGGTATTATTGCAGCAGCTCAAAAGATGTTACCTAAAAAGAAGATTTCAAACAAACAAGCTTTCAAGAACAAACAGGAGAAGAAGTCAGAGCTGGCACAGCTAATAGTTCTGTTAAGTAGATGGATAAGCTTGGGAAAAAAACATTAAGCTTGGCTGGCTAATAGATAACATTCAAGACTTCAATAATCAGATCAAACTGATTAACCTATGCTATGGAATCTACATAGAAGAAATCCAAAGTTGGTCACAAGAGGTTATTGAAGATCTAAGAGGTTGGTGGAAAATTCTTAACAAACGAAGAAAAGATGAGCTAGAAAGAATTAGAAGTGAGAAAATAAATAAAAATATCGAAAGAAGGTGCTAGATGATCAATGAAAAACAAGGAAAAATAATAGCAAACCTTCTCGACAAACCAATTAGAAAGATCAAAATTGACAGATTATTCAAAGAGGATAGTTTGTCAAAAGACTAGTTATAGAGCCAAACAGAGTTCTTAAAGAAACATGTGAATATTTCAAAAACCAATTTAGAGCAAGAAACTTTCAAGAAAACGCTTTATTAAGAGATTGGTATAGAATTTATAGTCCAAAAAAAGAAGTACAGAAAGCTTAGTATGAAGATCTAAACAAAGATATTTCAGAAGAAGAATGTGTAGAAATGCTGGCAAGCTTAAAGAAGAATACAGTATCAGAAATCTCAGGCATCACTTACATGCTGATCAAAGCAGCAAGTGAACAAGCGCAAAGAATATTCAGAACCATTGCAAGTATCTGTATAAAAACAGGCAAAATTTCTAAAAAATAGAAATTATCACAGATCTATCCAATCCTAAAGGATGAGGACTAGCATTACAATTTGAACAATATCAGACCAATTGCATTATTAGAAACCTTTCGAAAGTGTATGACTAAAGTACTCACCAAAAGACTTGCAGAAATTTTATCAAAGAAAAAAATATTAAGAGGTTCAAACTTTGCAGATCTTCCAGGCAATTCTATAGAAGAACCAGTATACATCTTTAATGCAATAATGGAAGATGCAAGAGATAACAGAAAGGAGCTGTAGATCTTACTCCAAGACATAAAAAAGGTATTTGATTTAGTATTACTCGAAGCTCTACGAAAGGTACTAGAAAGAATCAAACTGCCAGAAGTCACAATTAAACTTGTGTTGAATTTGTTTGTAAATAGACAATCCAGAATTATCACAGATTTGGGTCTAACAAATTTCTTCGAAATTCAAGAAGAGATAGAACAAGGAGAAGTAATTTCACCTTTAATCTAGAGGATAATCTACGATCTTCTTCTTGAAAGAATCTAAGAAGATACGAGTTTAGGTTATACTATAGACTACCAAAAGCACTCTGGCCTAAGGATAAACTACACAAATAGGTGTTTATAGAGACAAGCAGTAGTGGTATTTGCAGATAACACTATATAGATTGCAGAAAGCAAAGAGCAATTGGAGGAAATACTTGCAATCACAGAAGAGTTCTTTAGAATAAATAACATACAAATTAATAGAAAGAAAACTAAGTTAATCACAATGAATGTCAAAAACAAGTGTAAAGTCAAAAAGATCTTCTTTAGAAATGAATTAGTGCTCGTCAAAACCGAGTAAAAACTCGATTATCGAGTTTAAGCAATGCAGATCAGATCTTAAATTATTAAATTATTTTTAGTAATTTTTACCGTTACGTACATACATCATATCAAATGTAATACTTATCACTTATTAGACTTTAGACTCACAAATTTTAACTCTATTATTATACATACTAAAATTGAATAGCTTATTTAAACTTTATTTTTTTAAATACTTTGGGTTTGCAGTTTGCAAAGATCTTTAAATTAGTAGACTTTTTTTTTATTTTACTTCTCTTGCGGTCTTTGCATAGATTTTTCTTCTCATTCTTTCGTGTGGTTCTTTCCAGCTTCCCTTGATCTTGTGGTAAGTATGGTTCTTTGTTTTTTTTGATTTTTTTTTTTATCTTTGGTTCTAATTGTCTTCTCTTTCTGTCGTTTGTGGTCTTTGCATGGATTTTTCTTCTTATTCTTTCGTGTGGTTCTTTCTGGCTTCCCTTGATCTTGTAGTATGTATGGTTCTTTGTTTTTTTTTGATTTTTTTTTTTATCTTTGGTTCTAATTGTCTTCTCTTTCTGTCTTTGCGTGGATTTTTCTTTTCATTCTTTTATGTAGTTCTTTCCAGCTTCTCTTGACCTTGTAGTATGTATGATTTTTTGTTTTTTTTTGATTTTTTTTTTATCTTTGGTTCTAACTGTCTTTTCTTTCTGTCATTTGTGGTCTTTACGTGGATTTTTCTTCTTATTCTTTCATGTAGTTCTTTCTGGCTTCTCTTGATCTTGTGGTATGTATGGTTCTTTGTTTTTTTTTTGATTTTTTTTTATCTTTGGTTCTAACTGTCTTCTCTTTCTGTCTTTGCATAGATTTTTCTTCTCATTCTTTCATGTGGTTCTTTCTGGCTTCCCTTGACCTTGTGGTATATATGGTTCTTTGTTTTTTTTTTGATTTTTTTTTTATCTTTGGTTCTAACTGTCTTCTATTTCTGTCATTTGTGGTCTTTGTGTAGATTTTTCTTCTCATTCTTTCATGTAGTTCTTTTTGGCTTCCCTTGATCTTGTGGTATGTATGGTTCTTTGTTTTTTTTTTGATTTTTTTTTTATCTTTGGTTCTAACTGTCTTCTCTTTCTGTCTTTGCGTGGATTTTTCTTCTCATTCTTTCGTGTGATTTTTTCTGGCTTCCCTTGATCTTGTGGTATGTATGGTTCTTTGTTTTTTTTTTTGTTTTTTTTTTATCTTTGGTTCTAACTGTCTTCTCTTTCTGTCGTTTGTGGTTTTTGCATGGGTCTTCCTTCTCATTCTTTCATGTGGTTTTTTTCTGGCTTCCTTTGGTCTTGTGGTATGTATATTTCTTTTTTTCTTTATTTATTCCCTTTTTGAATTATTGGATCTTATTGGTCTTTTGTAATTCTTTTAGCGTTTATAATAAATTTTTTTGCCCTTTCTTGTGGCTCTAGCTATCTTTTCGATTTCTTTTGTAGTTTTTGTAGTGATTTCAATAAATCTTTCTGGCTTCTCATTTTTTCAGCTATTTTTTTTTTGGCCTTTCATATAGTTCTTTTCGGCTTGTATTTTTTTTTTACATTATCATAATTTTTGACATATTCACATGTGCTTAGATTTGAGTATCGCAAAGGAAAAGCTATAATTCTTATTAGATAAAAAAAAAATTAAGTCTCCTTTGCAGCATTTATATAAATCAGAATAATAATCTGCTGTTTTTTTTATGTAGCAAAATTGTTTATTTTATTATACAAAACTTATAATTGAATCTGAGATAAATGTTTGGGGTTGTTATATAACATGTTACAGTTAGATTCGTTCTTCTAAAAACAAATTATGCGATAATTTAAATAAATAATACAAATAGATTTTATGTTAAAAAAAATTGTTCAATTTTTATTTTGGTAACAGGACTTTTAATGTGTAAATAGTATGATTAGAGTTATTTTTTAAAACTTTAAGAATTATGCCATTAATTTTGCATGGTCTAATTTTTTTTAACATATCAATATTAAATTCAATGCGTGATCCCAATGCGTGATCCCAATGCATGATCCCAATGCGTGATCTTTATACGCAAACATTATGTGCGATTGTTATGCGCGATCGTTATGTGCAAGCATTATGTATGATCGTTATGTGCAAAAAAATCATTAGTATAGTTAAAGAATAAATATAAAAGAGAGAAAAGCTTGTAATTTGGTTATTAATAAATAAACTAATACCTTCAAAATTATATATATATTTATTATATCTAATAATCATCTTATTTAAAAAATGGCTTCTACCAGTCATGCCCATATAGCAACTCAAAAAAAGGCTCCAGTATGGGTATTTTTTGAACCACCCTTTGAAGAGTCTGGCAAGGAAAAAGCCAAATGCCATCTGTGTCTTCATGACAAATATCTCATTATAACCTGTGGTAGCACCACTAGCTTGCGCAATCATATTATTAACATTCATCATATCGACATCTTCAAGGCAGGCAGTTCTGATGATCTTACATCTCTAGTTCCTCAGTCAAATGAAAGCATTTTTAGGGAAGCATTGGTTAAGTGGATTGCATCGAAAAGCCTTCTCTTTACAACAGTCAAATTGGAAAGCTTCCAAGAGTTGGTTAGATTAATTAAAGTCTTGGGTGATATTGAAGTTCCCTCTGCAAGTATGGTTAAAAGAGATTTGTTAAAACAATACTCAAATTAAAAACATCCCTAAAAAACAATTTAATAGATAACTCAAGTAAGGTTTCTCTTACTGTCGACCTTTGGACAAGTAAGAGTTGTAAGGCCTTTCTGGGTGTGATAGCTCACTGGATCAACAATAATTAGGAGGTTGAGTCACAAGTTCTCGATCTTGTGCCTTTCGAAGAAGCACATACTGGAGTCAATTTATTAAATACTTTAGTTAGTATTTGTAATGAGTTTGGTATTATAGATAAAATTTTAGGGATAACCGTCAATAATGCCTCAAGTAATAATACATTACTTGAGGCATTTGAAGCTAAGTGTAAAAACGTTGGTGGCTTCTTTATTAAGCAATATGGTCATGTTCATTGCATGGCTCATGTCATTAATCTTGCTTTATAATTTTTTTTTGTGCTACCTACGTTCAGAGCCACCAGATCAAGATGAAGATGAACTTTCTATCCTAGAAGAGCTTACCACCTCCCAGACCCTGACCTCAACCCCAATTATAAAAAAACTTCGAACATTAATTGCTAAAATTCAATCTTCGCCCCAGCGTCGTAACAAGTTAAGAGAATTATGTGAATCTCTTAATCTACAATAAAAAACTCCAATTCTCGACTTAAAGACCTGGTGAAATTCCACACTTAATATGATTGAACAGGCTATCACTATGTCACTAGCCATTGATAGAATGGCTAGTGAAGTTCGTGAATTAAATAATCTTGGTCTTTCAGAAAGCGAATGGAATATGTTAAAAGAGGTGTCTTTGCCTTTGAAATCCTTCTGTGATATGTCTGAAGTACTGTGTGATGAAACATATGTCATAATGTCTCTTGTTATACCAGCCTATAATCAAATTATGGATGATCTTGAAGACATACAAGATAAAAGTTCAATCGCAATTCATGAGGCTATCGAGCAAGCACTTGGGAAATTAATCGTCTATTATACAAAAAGTGGTGGTCCTGCATATGCCGTAACAACCTTACTCGATCTAAGGTTTAAGAAAGCATATTATGAAACGGAAGGCTGGGATGCTGAATGGATTAGTTGGGCAACTGAAAGCCTAAATGATGTATATAACTAATATAAAGATAATTATGTGGTTAGTAATATTTCTGATAGTAATCCTCTTGACCATGTTTATAGAAAACTTCATAATTCTATAGATGAAATTAGTTTATACAGTTTACGGCGCATCCTAAAATAAACGTATATCAATGGTGGCACTTGCATACTGATCAATTTCCAATATTAGCAAGTATAGCACGTAACTATCTTGCCATACCAGCAACAAGCACACCTTCTGAAAGACTTTTTTCTAAAGGTTCAAACATAGACACCGCAAAACATGGTTCGCTAAATCCAGAGACCATGCAAAAAGCAATTACACTTTGTGACTGGATAGCTTAAACTTCTTTTTCATTCAATCATATTTAGTAGTTAAAAATTTTTATTAAAAAAATTTTACTTTTATTAGTTTATATTGAGTTTTGTAGTACCTGACAATGCATATCACAGATTAAAATAAAATCTGATCAAAATGAAACTGGGGACCTCTCATACTCACCCTTAGAGCCTATAAAACCCACATATACTCATTTATTAATAAACCTAACCCTAAACTCTACCCCTAATGCTAAAAAGAACCCCAAAAAATGTCTCCCAAAAAATTTTAAATTTTCCTTAAAAAACAGAAAAATTTCGTTTTGATCAGATTTCATTTTAATCTGTGACAATGCATATATGTGATACAAAATTTTAACAATATATAAAATTGTTACATTAAAATTTTAAAACAAAAATACTTTTTTTCATTAGATTAGGAGTAAAAATGAACTAAAAAAAATTAAGCTAGTGTTAATAACAACATTTTTTTAAAAGAGAGCTTTATTCGATTGTATATTAGGCCATACCAACTTAATAAATTGGTTCTTATAACCGTTCGGATCAAATTTTACTATCCGAATGAGTTTTTCAAATAAAAAAAACTAAAAAATTTTATATGTATTTTATATATATAATTTTTGGAAACAAAATTAAAAGCCAGATTGCCAGGTCACTTCTAAAATTTTTATATTATGAAGAGTGTTTTTATTATACAGTTAGCTCTGGATATAACAAACTTTTTTTTTTTTAACAAAACTATCAGAGTTCAGTATAAAAACATAATAAGGCCATGCAAACAAATAAAATTGGTTCTCGCTATCTGGTAAGTAACCTTTTTTGAAAACACCCGGATAGTAAAATTTTTTCTTCAAATTTTGTAAAATTTGGTCCTGTCTGTTATGAGATCCAATTTAATAAGTTTGTATGGCCTAAATAAGAAGCGCTTTAAAAATTTCACATATAGACCCCCAAGGTTTGTTATAGATCAATTATAGACATAATTCTTATTATATCGATATTTTTTCAGCAAATGCGAAGGGAAGATATTGTAGTCTAATCAATTGCAAATAAAACGTAATCTAGGTGATGAAACATACAGAGATTGGAATGTTTGTTAGAGCTGTTCATCTTGCCAAGGTATAAATTTCAACTATATAATCGTTATAACCATTTTCTACGATAATGTTGAACAGAAGCGGAAGCTAAGTGATTCCTGTTACAAGTTGTCTGTTTAATCAATAGCTTAGAGGTAAAGATCTATATTAATTCTTTTTTTAATGTTTCATGAGTTTTTGAAATGTGCACATATTAGTAATAATAAAACTATGAAGAACCTTTCTTTTCAAACTCTAGATAAAACGAACTCAAAATTTGAAAATTTATAATAGTTCAGTATAAAAAGCGCCATGGGTTCTTAAGGAAACATAGTAATTTTTTATAACAAACTTCTTTTTTTTCAGAATCTTCAGTTTATTATAAAAAGAGTTGATTATATATTTATAATTACAATGTCAGCTATTTTCCTGATAAGTTTAATCATTAAAATTTCTTTCTGCTGATATAGTAATTTACTTACAGAAAATTTTTTTTTTGTATAGAGCTTAGTAGTTTTAGGCGTATTTATAAAAGTCAAGATAGTTTGTCAGTGCTATGACAGATCGATCAGACTAGAAGTTAAAATATTGAATATTGTTTGTCTTGTCTTTTTATGGCGTTTCTAGTGAATTGTAAGTTTATATTTGTTATACGTTGAGACAGAATCTTATAGGTCACTGCTCACTGCTTACAGTACCCAAGGTCTTATTCAAGAACTTAATTTTTAAAAATTGAATAGTACCAGGTACTATTTACAAATTTAGCAATTTCAATGATGAAGGAGTGTATTTTGTGTGATAAGAAATTACTTATAGGTAACGTAAGCAGTGACCAATGGCAATAGTATTGTGACTTAATTCTTTTATTAAAAATTTGAAACTTAAGATCTTATTTTAATTTTCATTAATGTACAATATATATATATTTTAATCGTCGATTCATTTATTTATTTAGTTATTTCAGAATAAACCTTGGTAATTTACTAATAATAAGTTATCATTAATGATCCTGTTCAAATGTTATCAAATGTATCTATAAGTTTTGCCTATTTACATATTATCGCTGATTATTCAAAGATATGGGATATATAGAAAAGTAGTACAATACAGAAACGTAAAATAGGACAGACGTATAAAACACCAATTACTTTTTCTATAAATTCTAACATGAAAAAAGGACAATATTGGCACTCACCCTAACCCTAACCATCAAAAAAGGTTATTTATAAAAATTGAAACTTGTAAGTCTATATTAACCATACGTATGATCAAAATTTGGTGTAATTTTCGTATATCAATACTGCTATACAGTGCTACTTTACTAAATTCCTAAGCTGAACCATATTATGGTTTAAAAAATGTATATATGAATATACTAGCTAATGATTTGTATTATACGGTATTTTAAAAGATACATCATAGATTCAGGGTGTTCTCATGCAGTACGCTTTATGTGATTAGTTAATAATCAAACAAAAAAACAAAAAAAAAACAAAGAACCATACATACCACAAGATCAAGGAAAGCCGGAAAGAACCACATGAAAGAATGAGAAGAAAAATCTACGCAAAGACCACAAATGACAGAAAGTGAAGACAGTTAGAACCAAAGATAAAAAAAATCAAAAAAAATCAAAGAACCATATATACTACAAGGTCAAGAGAAGCCAGAAAGAACCAAACGAAAGAATGAGAAGAAAAATCTACGCAAAGACAGAAAGAGAAGACAGTTAGAACCAAAAATAAAAAAAAAATCAAAAAAAAAACAAAGAACCATACATACTACAAGATCAAGGGAAGCCAGAAAGAATCACATGAAAGAATGAGAAGAAAAATCTACGCAAAGACAGAAAGAGAAGACAATTAGAACCAAAGATAAAAAAAAAATCAAAAAAAAAACAAAGAACCATACATACCACAAGATCAAAGGAAGCTGGAAAGAACCACATGAAAGAATGAGAAGAAAAATCTACGCAAAGACCACAAACGACAGAAAGTGAAGACAATTAAAACCAAAGATAAAAAAAAAATCAAAAAAAACAAAGAACCATACTTACCACATCATACTAATAACAAAGGAAAGGGAAAAGAAAAAGAAATATGAGTGAAAACACGAATGGCAATTGAAAATATAAACTATAATAGACAGAAGATAATACTTCTTTACAGAAACCTATATATTTTGCTAAATATATTTATCATATAAAAATAATATAATTAAAATATAATTACAATATAATATAAAAATTTTAAAACTGTTAACTTAATAATATTTAAGTTGTTAACATATTTTTAACATATATTAAAAATTTTGAAAAAGAAAAATTTTAAAATTAATTATAAATATTTAAATATTAAAGCTATTAATAAAATTTAAAATAGAAAAATTATATATAAAATTAGGCAAAGAATATTTTTTGTTAATAAATTAATTATAGGTTCATAATAAAAATTTATATTTATAAATAATTTTTTAAAAACTTCAATTTTTTTAATTTTTTTTATATTATATATAATTTATTATTTAATTAATAAATTGTATAATAAATAACTATTAAATATAATAATAAATAAATTTATAATTATCATTATTTATTTAGATATTTTAATTTTTTATTTTTTTTTTCTAATTCGGCTGTCCTGCCCTTGTTTATTTAGGATCAAGTTATTCAAAATTACAAGTAAAAAATTATAAGCGATTTATCTCTCACTACAGTAGATCCAACCAAATGAAGAACTCACCCACATGATTTTATACATCAGGTGCGATCTGCCTCAGTAGCTCTTGGCCTCCCTCAGGGTCCTTAACTCACTAAGGACTTTTTTCCCGTTGTTTATCGGCTGGTGGCTACCCGTTCATCAAGAAGCAAAATCAGAAAAAAACAAACAAACTAAAAAAATCCGAAATTTGTTTGGCCGATCATCTCGTGATTTTTACTTTTTTATCATTATCTCATGTAAAATTTATCCGTATCACCCCCTCCTCAAAAATAAATTTTTTCGGAGTAGAGATATGTGAAACCTTATCTAAAAAATATTCTGATTACGTACTTTTTCTTTCGAATTTATGAGAAAATAGGGGCTTATCGTTATGCATAGCTTATTTGTGAGACGGGGCACAAGTAGAAATTGCCATTTTTCATTTTTCGACCGGGACGCCCCGGCTGAAATTACGGTAACTCATGCCACATATTTCTGATTTCACTTTGAGGAAACCAAACCTAAATGCGCACAATGTATGCATGTACTATGAAGTATCAAGTCTTTTTTAACTTTACATGGCTCTATAACTCGTGATGCATAATTTATAAAAATTTTTTGCCGTGCTTTTTATTATCGATAGAAGTTTCTGTGCGTGGAAATACTTCTTTTATCGAGAAATTTTTCGATGTAAAAGCACATGTCTTTGTTTCTGTCTAACCTTTCGAGTTTCAGAGAAGAGATGAAAGAAAAACATATAAAAGGGGAGTATAGCGAAGTTAAGGATCACTACAATAATTTCGAACATCTTAGAATTTTTTCACAACCGCCCAGCAATGGAAAATACTTTATTTGACAGCCTTTATAATTTCTTAATTGATTCTCCAGAAAACCATATCTCCGCA